GAAAGGGAATTTCTCGGTTACGTATGGTAACCCTCGTTCCCTGAAGGAGGGAACGGAGACGTCACGTCCCGTCGCCACAGCTCCTGTACCACCGCTGAGCGGCCTGGTCACCGGCTCGGCTCCTCAGCGAAAACCTGAATATGCGCTGCATCTGCTGCCTACTTATACTCACGCTGTGATCAGCAGCAGCTGGATGCAATAATCGCATGCCAATGTGCATTGGCTCGTTTAGTTTACACTCGAAGTAGATTGGTCCCTCTAAGCGAGATCCCAATTCGTCGGTCATCCGACGTGACGTCTCCGTTCCCTCCTTCAGGGAACGAGGGTTACCATACGTAACCGAGACGTTACTCGTGTTAATCCCACTTACAGGCCTGTTTTCTTCTTTTCTGACCAGTAAACAAATGACTGCTATGGTTCTGTCATTTATTATAATTGTAGGATTAATCAAGAGACATTTAACCGTTGTTGCATCAGGCAGACACAAAACAATTTATGCTGAAGTGATTTAAAGACTGCTTTTGGCTACATAAGGGGAAGATTATCCCATGGAGTATGTATGGAGTGGCTTTGGCCGGGATTAGTTCCTTCAGAATGGTATTTGCTTTAGAGAGGCTGTCTGTTACTTTAATAGAGCGGCGTGTATTGTTTCATATCCTGCTGCTGAACTGAGCTGACCACAGCTTTCTAAATCAGGTGTCTTAATCTGAGGGTGAAAAATAAAATCCTTGTGAGTCATTGTCTCTGCTGCACCTGCTAGATTTTGCCGGATGTGTTTGCTGGCGTTCCTAATCCTTCATCCATCAGCTGGGTCACTGTGTAACAAGTGTGTATGAATTGTGTGTATGCAGGCTAACCTGCGTGTTTGTGTGTGTTACAGAGACGCCCCCTCCAGGCTACATCAGTGAGGATGGAGAGACCAGTGATCATCAGATGAACCGCAGTATGGACACAGGTGATGCCTGTTATACCACCGTGATGTTGCGTTCTTTGATTGGTTGACATGTTGAATTTTCTATAACTGCACGGCTATGAAGTAGTTCCAGGTTTGTTGGTGGCATTTCAGTTCCATATCACTTTTCCACATTGTTTTTGAGTTTCTTTCTGATACTCAATCAGTGGTGTAGGGAAATGGATCTACGCAGAAGAACATTTAGGGATGAAAACCTAAGAAATTTGACAAATGAGACAAACACGTGGTAAATGTGATGGAGTGGAATGGAAGTGGAATAATTTACTCTGCACACTTGAATTATTGGAAATCTAATCAAAAGGGATTTAATCAAAATGCGCTGTGTACATTCATACACCGTTAAATCATTGATCTGTCCTTTTCTTTTCAGGCTCTCCAAATCTGTCACCGAACCCTGTTTCTCCTGCCCACAACAATTTAGGTAACTCTTATTGCTTGTGTGTGTATCATTTGCATGTGAATTCACGGAAGTGTCCTAGCAGAGTAATCACAAGTGCAGTTCATCATGTTAACTATGAACATGATTTACTAACATTTGACCATCAGGTGGAGTCCAGATTATTTTTGTCTTTATCAGGGCTGTCATGATGTCAGATTTCTGTGAAATAATGATTTGCAAGGCAAAAAGATATAGACGCTATCATCACAATATATAGAAATTTAAAAAAACAACAACAAATTAAATTCAAGTTAAATGTATCTTTATCTTGTGTGTTTTCTGCAATGAATCACACTCAAAATACAAGTTTAGGGAGATGGAGTAAGTTAGTAACCACAACTGGCCAATAGCGTACAAAAAGACCTTCTTGTTGATCTTCCTACAGATTAGGGTGTTTAACTCCTAGATATGTATAGATTCCCCATTCGACGGCTCCAGGCACGTAGATGCCACTGCCATCTTGGAACGGTCAACTTGACGTCATTCACCATACTGTAGGTTCTTACAGAGCCGTTGAGCCGTTCTGTGCAGGATTGTGGCATCTTTCGAATATTCAGTGATTACTATGGTGAATGACGTCAAGTTGACCACTACAATATGGAGGACGGCTTATGTATAGCGGCCCATAGAAACAGTCACTAATGAGGCATCTACGTATACATATCTATGGTTTAACTCCCCATATTTTTTATGGAATCTAAAAAAACTCCCTCACTGGCAAGCTAACTTTTTTTCAGATGTGGGTCTCGCTTTTAAATATTGGTGTATTGTGGCAAGTTTAAACAAGATAAGTTTTTTATCATTTAAAATCTAAGAACTGTCTTTTTGTATCATGTTTGCTTGAAGAATTTGCTTGTGCTGTCTTTCTTTAAAATAAATGACAGTTGCTTTGACATTTTGTTATTAATGAAAAGACATTCATGCTTTTTTTTAAATGTGGCTTGAATATCCAAATGCTTCTGGGAGCCACTATTTGTGGGACATCTTCCAAGTCTTCCTGACATTCGGTTGCATTAACAGTTCTTCCTCATGATTCAGATGCTGGTACAACAGAACACTATGCTAAAATACGTAATGTTTCACACACTACTATCCAACAGAGCTGCATTGCTGCTGAATCTACAGAGCCATGACAACAACAACAACAAAAAAGATGCTAGCTGGACAAAGACTGACCACCGCAAACTGATACAAAGACAATAAATAAACTACATACCTCGCGAAAACACAAACATGCAGCACAGACGGTATAGACTGTCGTGAATAAATGACTCGTATGAACTAGTTCTTTTTTTAATGAATCGGACAAAGCAGTCTTGAACTGATGAGTTAACAGTTTGAATCAGTCTAATGACTCACTCTCTGACTCTCAGTTAAAGTAGTTCTTATTCGCTTATTGTAGTCATTATGTTCCTTATGTCCAACTAAAGGACTTTTACTATATTACATGTATTTTAAAGCTCGTGAAACCTAAATCAGTGCACAACTGATTGTTCATATAACAGTGTGAAATTAAAATACACATTTAGTAGAGTGTTGGTAGAAATGTGTTTTTAGTCTCTCAGAGGAAATGGATTGCTGAAAGAATTATTTGTATGTCCCCAAAACAACTTGGATGAAAACCACCCACACTAAACATCCTGTCAGTTACCATCTAAGCAAAGGAGGGCCCGCAGTTCCTTTTGTATCAGATCGTGCTTTTTCAGACAAGCGCTCAGATCCCACAGGGATTTCTCTTCTCCACAACAGTGGTGTGTGCGTATGTGTAAATGCCATAAGCCTGTAATTTTCTACAGTTTTGCGTCCAAGTGATGATGGTATTTCCCGATTCAGCCTTTATTTCTGGGAAGTAACGTTTTGAACGTACTCTTGACATCACAGTGTCGTCAGTTCCCAGCCCCCGTGCTCTGTCTCTTCGGTTATCCCCACCCATCTATTTCTTTTCCACCGCCTATTTCTGTGCATGTCTGTGCCTTTCAGATTCTCTCCTTTTATTGTTCTTTTTTCTGCTTTCTTTCAGATCTACAGCCGGTGACATACTGTGAACCAGCGTTCTGGTGCTCTATTTCCTACTATGAGCTGAACCAGAGAGTCGGTGAAACTTTCCATGCCTCTCAGCCCTCTTTAACAGTAGATGGCTTCACAGACCCATCCAACTCTGAGCGCTTCTGCCTGGGCCTGCTGTCCAACGTGAATCGCAACGCTGCTGTGGAGCTCACACGCAGACACATTGGTACACACACCATCGTTCTAAATCACTCATTCATTAGACGACATCATTTAAAGATAAATATTTTATTTTTTATTTGTTTATCTACTTGCTTATGTGGCAACCATTTGTTTTTGCAGGCCGGGGTGTGCGTTTGTACTACATTGGAGGTGAGGTGTTTGCAGAGTGTCTAAGTGACAGTGCCATTTTTGTTCAGAGTCCCAACTGTAACCAACGTTACGGCTGGCACCCCGCCACTGTTTGCAAGATCCCACCTGGTAAGATAAAACAAGAGACCCTCAACAAATAGCCCTCATTAAGAGAGAGTTCAACAACTGAGCTACTGAATAGCTGTACTAAAAAGAATTAAAGCAGAGCTTCCTTCTTGATAGTTTCATGACATTCAGCTAAATCAATTTGTCTTTGAGTTTATGAACTGTGTTTCAAACTGCTTTGTGTCCATCCAGGCTGTAATCTGAAGATCTTTAATAACCAGGAGTTTGCAGCTCTTTTAGCCCAGTCTGTGAATCAGGGCTTTGAGGCCGTGTACCAGCTCACCCGCATGTGCACCATTCGCATGAGCTTCGTGAAGGGCTGGGGAGCCGAGTACAGGTACAATTACTGCAATCACTTCACTCTTTCCATATCTATCAGCTCGCTTGCCACTCTTGGAATGTGGCCTTCATTTGACTTGCTCAAAGACTTTTGAATCACTTGTGAAGTGGAGTTACCCAAAACCACAGAAGCCACCCGCACTTCCTGTTAAATTCTTTGAGTTTGATTGTCGTAATCAGCTTTTTGTAGAAAAGGGATTATGAATACTCAATGACGTAAAAACATTACAGCTTTTTACATTTAGATTTATTTTAATGTCTTGATTTTAATCAAATAGACCATAAAGAGAAACCATAATAGAAATGTTAAATATTAAGATATTGGTCAGTACTGAATATTTATAATAAGAGATTCACTAAAGATGCTAAAAAACAATTAAAAGTGTTATTAAAATGAATTTGTTTTTAAAGATTAACTTTTAAGTGAGTGTTAGTTTATGGCAAAGGTAATCTACGTGTAAAAATAGGTTAAATAAACATGCGCAATTAAATATCCAGTATTGGCTGATATAGATCCAATAAGGCTGCACAATATATAACCACCATATTTGTCATCAGCGAGTATTATAGTAAATTTTAATATACATGTTCATTTAATTGATCGATTTTAGGTTTCAGGGTTTTTTTTTTTAGTTTTAAATTATTTAGACAAAATAGTATAGAATTCTAATATCATCCATAACAGTTGATTATCTCAAATGTATTCAACTGAAAATGATTAGCTGAAAATAATCAGCTTTTTGGTATCGGCCAATATTTTAATAATATTTTGCATCCCTAATATCTAATATCGACTAAAGCGATAAAGTAAAAAATATAATATCAGCAGATATAAATAGTAGTTGCTAATAAAGGAAGCCCAGACCATTTTACCGCTCCATAGAACAATAGGAGGGAGTGTCGTTTTAAGGCTATTTAAGTATAGACAGGCCTACGGGGTCAAGGCAGGGTCTGACAGGCTGTGGTTTGCCGGTGTTTTTCCTGGTCTGGCTTGCTCTGCTGAAGAGCTCTGACGTAGGAACACAGCCAGTTTAGCGTGTCCTTCATATAAACTGTTAGGTCTGCGCTGGCAAATCATTCCACACCAAACAAACTCACACATGGTGCGCTTCAAAACGTCAGAGTTTCCTGGTCTCTCTCTCTCTCTCTCTCTCTCTCTTTTTCTCCCCCTCTTGCGCTTTTGAGTAACTTCATTGTTTGAGCCCAAGGAACCAAGACCCTAATCAGAAGCAGTTGTGGGTTTTGACCAGGGACATCTGCAACGAAAGCTTGAGAAGAAAGTAGGAAAGAGTAAGACTGGTGTGAGAGAGAGTGAGACTGTGGTTTTCAGACAGCTTGGCGTGTGGAGACACAATCTGAGCTGTGTCGAGTTTCGCCAGACACCCACTCTCTCTCTCTCTCTCTCTCTCTCTCTCTCTCTCACGCCCCTCCACGTCTCCCCACCTTCAGATCCACCTCTTTAGGTGCTGACAAACTGTCCCTGTTGCAGTTTAAAAATGCCATTTGAGCACTTTGGTTGGTTGGACCCTGTATTTGCAATCACGTCAGTGAACATCATGACGTAGAACAGCACAGTGCCTTTGTCTGAATTCAGCTTTATATTCTTTCAGTTGTCTGTCACCTAAGCTGCCTAAGTGACTGTAACTCATGTAGGAGGAGAGGGACCGAGATTCAGGAGAGACTT